ACGATGATGATGATAACGAGCATAGCAATAGCGTAGTAGAACATGCTTGAGGTGATTAAATCAAATAAGAATTAAGAAAATGACTGATTATAGCTGATTAGGTAACGAGGGTACTGGATGGACATCGAATCAAGTCTTTGACATCTGTGGCTGAAGATGTTGGATAGTACAACTCGTTATCAAAGGATGGCAGTACCATAATAGCCAACCACGTTCCAAATATGAGCAGTAGAAAAACTGTTCCTGAACATCACTTTACGCTTTGTTGCCTTCGCCAGATCCAACTTCTAGCATCCCTCATCTTCATATATATCAATGGGTCATCATATCTTGGCAGGAGTTAGTTCTGAACACATGCTTATGAAATATTAGCTTGAAAAGGGAAGACAGCCATGATGATAGTTAATAAAAGATACCTCCAAGATAACGCTTAGGTTTATCTGCTCTAATCCGCTTTCGCATTAGAGCGCGTTATGGTAAGATATCCTTTGATTCAAATAAATAAATTTGAAAAGAACCCTCTTTGTACTTTGACCTAAACGCTTATAAGAAGATGTTTTGTTTTCCCTATTGTTTTCATTTGATCCATTCACCAGTTATCTATTCAATAAGAGTTTTAATATTATATGTTTATGAACTAACCGATTAATGAATATTGAAATACAAATTGCATTCTTAATCCGTCGGTGTCTATATATATATATACGTTGAATGTATAGCAGCACATGTCTTGATTACCACCTGACAGCAATTAGCGTTAAGCCCTTCTCTATTCTCATACAAATCGTTAGAGATTTAGAAAATTGTTTGTTTCTCTTATAAGAGAGAAGCAATCTGTCCTAACACATCTTGACAGTGATAGGTTGAGTTGGTTGAATTAGACAACAAAAAGAAACTTTATTCCACAGCCAGCTGTTTCATAAAGCAACATGAGAATTAAGTATACTTAGTATGTCATGAGATAGAAATCAGATCGTTCAGTACTGACATGACGGAACAGTTGAACAATGAGTTCTTCAGGAGTTGTTGCTTTGCGAATTTCTGCAACAGAATAAGATAGGTTAACAATTATGATTGGAAAGATCGACCATTGAGGTTTCGGCGAAATGATATTCCTTGCAAAACCAACCAGTAGATTAGGAAGGAAGAGTAAGAGCCAATGATTAACACAGCAGCTGCAACTGTAAGTATTCAACTGATTATGATGATTATAAGAATGATATGTTACTCATGAACTGCGGTGATGAATAGTCCATCTTAGAAAGTATCAGCACGCACCAGAACAGCAATTCTACAATCTGATTGATACCAGTATGAAGTAGACAACCAAGGAAGCAGGTGAAACTGTCTAATGACAGAGAGCGTTCGTGAAACTCCATATTAAGTTATTCAGAAACGTTTATTTGAATAGAGCTTGCAAATCAGTTGAAGGGAAGTATGATCAATTCAAGGACATGAAATAAAAATGAAAATGTGATAGAGAGACTGAAAAATTCTGGAAATGCACCACTCATGAATTTTTCATAAATGAAAATCTTAGCAACCGGTTAGCATTTGACATGCTGATAAATGATTTATCTTCCGTAACATGACATGATATCATAGTGGTAAGTTCAAAACCTAATGAGATAATCTGATCAGAATCATTTTCAGGATATTTATTTAGCAGAAGAACGTTGCTGTACTTCAATTATCAGATGCAGAAGACTTGGATGAGAAATGGTACAAACAGATTACTGTTCAAACGAATGAAACTGTGTCTAAACAGCTTTTTGGTTGTGAGTTACGAGGTTTCAAAAAATATATCTCATTCAATGAATAGAAGAACCTACGCTACAATGAAGCTGGAGCATAACTATGGTTATAATATGAATTTTGGAAGATTTTCCTATTGCAACCGGAACATGATATCATGCAAAAGGAAATGAACGTAGAAGCATATCTGCTGTTCACAGATCTACGCTGTTTGCTCATCATACCAACTGTTACTGAATGAGATAGGCTATGACTTTGCTGAATATCGTTTAGATTCCTCCTAACAGCGGATGTTGAAGAGAAAAAACTCAGAAATTCAGTTTTGTATTGAATTATCTGACGAAAGGAATGAAGGTGAAGAGACGAAGAGATAATTATGATAAACTGATGAAGAAAGACAGTTAGGATGAAATCAGGTGTTTACATGTCATTAGCTTCTCAATTAGGAAACCAAAGGTAACTTATTGCAACAGCATCTATTCATAGAATAATAATTGTTTATTCGATAGCTGCGCAGAAGAGATAAAGCTCAAAGGATATGTGAGAATGGATGATTGATGATAAAATTCTATTGAAGTCTTTTCAAATAGACAACAGAAATTATTCATTCTCATCGGGAGCCATATGACCTCCCCATTATGACTAAGGAAATGGATTGTAATAGCATAATCATTCTCTTTTTCATGACTTTTTTTTTTCCAAGTAAACTATTACCAACAGGCTGCTGACTGAAATTCATGCGGATGATTCAGAACACAAGTTTTTCTGGTTGAAAATAGTGTGAAACTGAAAAATAAGTAGAAGAGAAGATTCTGAGAGCAATCATTGTGATAGGAAAATGAAAATGATGCTATAGACGTCATCATACCAACTATGGGAAGGAGTAAAGATAATCGTTGTTATTGTTGTTGTTGTTGATTATCTCTCAACTGCTTCTGATTGAAATAATCACCAACATCATCTAATTTTGATTGTTTTCAGATATGATAACTCATATTCATTTCTTTATCAGTTATAACAAGCCGCTCTCCATGCCCTACTCTTCTGTCTCAAAAGGAGTCTTCCAATGCCTTATAGTTTAATCTCATCATTTCATTCATTACTATATAGTAGAATAGAAGACCTTCGCTTACTTCTTGCAGTTTTACTCCAGTCTGAAGCTGTTTAATGCTTGCGAACAATACTGATGAGTCAACTCGCAGTTTTTCCTATAGTTTATTCAGTCCCAAACGCGCAGGCTGCACCAGATGCATGAAGAAGTTTTCTGTTTAACTTTTTATGTTTTCCTATTGTTTAAGAATTGACTAGACTATATTTATTGAAATAGAAATCTGTAAAAAGACAATTTATATATGGAGATCATGTATTGGATAGAGCTCACAGAGCTCATCAACAGACATAGCTGATCATGTATTCAGGATCATAACGATCCTC